CCTCGGATTTCTACTTCTAAGTTTACCCCTCTTTTCTTTTCTTTGTTTTAGTTTAAAGAAAACCCCACTAAGTCCATTTATGCTGCCCATGTATATACAGCTGTGGGTGCAGCTGGTGGCCACACGCCTGAAGAATGACTCGTCCTCCTCAGTCGTCAACATTTCCTCAGGAACAGGGGAGGTGGAGGGCCCTGCACTGCTGCCACAGTTGGACTGGAGTTTACAACAGGATTTCTAGGTCAGCAACTAAAACTCCCATAAGTCAGAGCCTCACAAAGTCACAGCAGCCATGATCGATGGTGAGGCACGTGAGTTCCAGTGACTCTGAAAGACTGCTTGAGCCTAGGCTTTCGGGATCAGCCTGGGCAAGGCAGCACGATCAGTCTCAGCAGAGGAAAAGTACAAATGAAACCAAGTCACCTGCTCATTCTTTCTGTTGGATGGGTTTTCAGCAAATGTGCTGTAGCAGCCTCTGCTCTTTGTAGGAACCTAATAACATTGCTCTATAACAGTACATAAGACAGACTATGTACAACGACCCAATGTATTTAGGACAACATAGTCCAGCACGGAGCTGTACTAGGAATGAAATAGGCTTTGATGAACCAGACATCCCTGGTGGGAAGATAGATGTTGTGTTCCATATGCATTACTTGAGACAGATAAACCACATTTCCCATGAGTGACTTGCTACCACAGTCAAATGAACATCAATAGGTTATCCTAGAGAAAGTCTGCCATCAATAAATACTTCAGTAGTGACAGCTATGTTATTAACAGTGAAATACAAGACTTTTGGGGACAACTTCAGGAACATATTTCAATCCTAAAAGAACATAGTCACCAAGAGTCAATATGTATCAATGTATGTGGGCACCAGGAGCAGCAGAATCTCACTATGAACTAGCTTCATGGTTGGGGCAAGCCATGGCAAACACATTAGCAAAGACTATCTCCCACCCGAATTAGAGGATGGTAGTTGGGAATACAGCGAGAAAACCTTATTTACAGACTTGATTACTTATTTTATACTCAACACATGCATGTCAGAAACGTAAAGAAACTCAGGTCTTCTAAATGTCTCCTAGAAAATGTGTATGGCACATCCAGTCACATCTATGCAGCTTTCATGGCCCATCCAGTCATGTCTATGCAGCTTTCATTTTCATGGTGTTAACGCTCATGCTTCATGCTAAGCAAAGGCCCCGCTGAGCCGTACCCCGGGCTCTGCCAGGGCTTCAGTATTAAATTGAATACATTTAGAAAACCTTTAAAAGAAGAGTTCCGTGGTTCTCACAAACGTGTATATTAGTGATTCACAAGGGAGAAGTCTCTTCTCTGCTACATTTTGCTATGTACTCACAAGCGAGATGCACGAATGTCTTACTTGAGTCTTCTCGTTAAATACTTCCCTCTGTGGTAATTGTAGATGCTGTAGATAATTAAAGATGCAGATGCAGTTTTGAGAAATAATATAAAGATATCCTGTATTCATCTTACCCAGTTTCCAATTTAATAATGATTTAGGTCTGCGCTTCCATCATCAGAAGAATCCGTCGTTACCCACTTACAGTTAGGTTCACCTGTCTCACTCTGTGACCCCCTTTCTGAAAAGTCTTCCTTCTTAAAGGTCACATTCAGAATGTTACATGGACAGAAGAATATAGTGCAAACACTCTTCTGGCTTGCTTTAACTACTTAGCATAATCTTCTGCAGATTCACAAAAGCTGCTGCTTGTATCAGTATTACCTCCTTTATATTGCTGATTGCTGAATACTATTCTATGGTATAGATATACGACGGTTTGTCTTGCCAGACACCAGATCAAAGGATTAAAGGGCATCTAGTTGATTCCAGGAGAGAGAGAGAGAGAGAGAGAGAGAGAGAGAGAGAGAGAGAGATCAGAGGAAAACTTTGTGAAGTCAGTTCTCTCTTCCCACCATTATTGGATTATTGGCAGGTTCCAGGAATTGAGCTCAGGTCATCAGAGCTGCCTGGTTAGCGCCTTTACTGGCTGAACCATCATCTTGCTGGCCCTATCATATGTAAGTCTTTGTGTGAGTGATAAGTTTTCATTTCTCTGGAACTATATCTCTAGTTTCTGGTTGGTAGGCAGTTACATTATCTAGTGTTTTAGAAAACAGCCACGTGGCTTTCCAGTTCTATTTAATGTTCCCAGCAGCCGTGTAGCGCTTTCTGCTTCCTCATACCCTTGCTTCTATTTGCATATATTCTTAAGACTAGCACTTTGCCAGGTACGCCATCTGCAGATATTCCATCCCCATCACCTGTCTTTTGTCCTCTTAAGAGAGTCCCTTGCATAGCCAAACTTTTAAAATTTAATGACATATAATTTAAATCAAAATTTCCTTTTACAGGTTATGTTTTTGTGTTTGATAAAGTGCACTCTGCCAAGCCCTTGTTCCAAAGGGTTTTTTTAGTTCTTTTTACAGCACAATAGTTTCACATTCCTGTATTTACAAGCATGAGCTCTTCTGACTTAGTTTTTATGTGAACTCTGAGGTTAGCCTAGGGTTCACTCTGAGTGCCCACAGCTCCATCACATTTGCTAAAGGCTGTTCCTGAGTTTTTGTTTGTTTGGTTTAGTGTGGTTTTTTTTTTTGGGGGGGGGGGGCAGGGTCTCTCCTTTTTAAAATATATTATTTATTTGCTAATTTTATGTGCATTAGTGTTTTGCCTGCTTGGGTGTCTGTGTGGAGGTGTCAGATCTCCTGGAACTAGAGATACAGACAGTTGTGAGCTGCCATGTGGGTGCTGGGAATTGAACCTGTATTCAATTGGAAGAGCATCCAGTGCTCTTAACAGCTGAACCATCCCTCCAGCTTCTGCTGGCTTTTAAAAAGTAGATTATGTGCAATTATCTATGTAGTTAATCATGCCATTGTAAATAAGGAGGCATTTATTCTTTCTTTCTAATTTGTAAGCATTTAATTTCTTTTTCTTGCCTTATTGCTATGTCTAAAACTTCGAACTTTATGTCTAAAACTGCACATTTTAATTCAATGTAAATTCCTGGAGATTTGCTGAAACTCATTTGCCTGAAGAGGAACCATCTAACTCCAGCCCATTAACTTTCAACATCGTTCTTGGTGTCCAGATGATTCAGATTTTATTTCTTATAATTTTGATAAGTAGCTGATAACTTTAGGGGTTTGTAATTGGAACCCGCTATTCAAAACCTATGAAGCATCAGGGACCCTTAAGGAGCTACCTCATAACAAGCTCACATAGCAAAAGGTACCAGTGAGGGGGACTGGGGAGCCTTGACAAGGAAGCTGTGAGAGGCAGTGACGTCTCAAGGATTGATGTCTGAGGTTGGCCTGTGGAGTACCTGTAACCTGCAGTTTGTTCTTCTGGCCTTCCACCTTCTTCTAAATTGGGAGTAGCAATAATTTTAAAGTCTAGAAATAGGAACGACCTCTAACAAAGCCACTCTATGATTGTGTATTGGAAATAGTGATTGTTGGGAACTCTTGTGAACTGGCTTATGTCAAATAAATAGGATTGTGTAGCTTTACTAGGTTTCTAGTAATAAGTACTTAAGTATGTTTTAACAACACAAATTCAGTTCATGTCTTATTTGGTTAAATGAAATTATTTTGTTCTAAGAATGTGTATATTTTCTATATTAGTGATGTGTTCTTATGTTATATAACATACCTGATCCATCATAGAGAATTTCTAGCCATTGTAGAAAGATAGAAAACTCGGTCTTGGTGGTGTGTGCTCTGGTTCAGTAAGGCCTCAGGTACATACACAGTTTCAGTTTAGTATCTTCTGAATGCTAGGAACTCTTGTAAATGGTTTGTTGAAAAGTTCAAAGCGTGCTCCCTAGCCCTGCACCTGGCACTCCCAGCAGACTGGTTAGTCATTGTCCTTTGAATCACAGCCCTTGCTTGATGACCCTCTGTGCATTTCAGTAACTCATCTCTAGAATTGGAAAATGCAGCGGGAGAACCTCACCCATTGTCTGCAGTGAACGCAGGAGCCTGAGTTTGGGATGCTGACTGGTTCTCTCTTAGCTTCAGTCTCCCAGTCTGAATGAGACACCAAGACATGCATCTTACTGGGCCGGGGATTAAGTGAGGTGATTCTGTCGAGGATCTGGCCTGAGGCTAGGCAGTGAACAGACTCCCGGGCTCCTTCTCTTGCACGTTGCCTTTGCTTTTTCAGTTGTACTCTCTCCTCTGTCTTTTGCTACATCATGGGGAAGGAGGTGCTTTTTACTTTGAATATCACACTTCACGAATGGTCGAGGGGCACTTCCTACTGGAAATACTAACAGTGGGGATCTGGGAAGCTCAATGGAAAAACTGCCTCATTCTTGTTAATATTCTGCTGTCGTCTGCTCACACAGAACGGGCCATGCACAAAACTGAACGTGCTTACTCGACTTGCTATACACTACAGTGGAGGAAAGGCTCTCCACCTGACCCGTATGTTCCAGAAAATACATCTGCAATTCCATGACGTAGTGGATAACCTTCTGACAAAAAGCCTTCCACCTTGCCCTGGACCCACAGCCACCTTGTGTGATGCGCGCTCAGCTCTTTTTATGCCACGAGCTTTTATCCAAAGCATGACTTCTGCACAGTAAGCAACACAATGTTCTCACAATACAAGGTGATAACATGCGACATACAGGCATTGTTTGTTTGTTTTTGTTTTAAAGGACAGAATAGCAACTACCACTTCCATTTTGACAACCACGATTTCCAAATGGGTGTGTTTGGATTGAGTACGGTATAAACAGAAATGCTTCCATGTGAAGTCCCTGCGTGGATGATGGATCAGCAAAGGACCACTCCAGTGGATCTCAACTCTAGCCCCAAGGCTCCCTGTTCATCCCTTTTCATTCTGCTGTAGGATGACAGGACAGCTAGGCCCTCTTCAAACAAAGAGATGGCAGTCAGAGACTGGCTGCACCACTTCAAAGGTCTTCATTTTAATGCAAACCCCCGGGACTTTTGTGTTACCATCAGGCCTTTCTTGGAGCTGCTTTGAAGTATTCCTCCCTCGGGATGTCAGATACACCTCCATACCATTTCTGAAGCCAGACGTGTTCTACCCACATCTTCATGAAGAACCATTCATACTGGCGGGGCCATTTCCTCATCCCTGGATGCCTGTAGGAATAAAGAGATTGCACAGTGAACCTGCAATTCTGCACCTCAGCCAGTCCCAGGGGACCTCCTACCTGTAGGCCTGATTTGGGCTGAGAGTTAGTTACTCAATCCAACCAGAGGTTGAAGCTGATGAGCTGCGGATGGGGGTCAGGAATGGGGGAGCCCTAGGAAGGTAGGAAGTTTTAGTCTCTATACAGAGCTGCTAAGAGCTCTTTTCTGGAGCCTGCTAATGAGTTCAGATGCTAACGCTGCACCTACGGTTGTGTCCTCACCTGTCGTATAAGCGAAGGCTATGATGCTTATCACAGGGCTGTATGGGGAACAAGCAGAAAGCGCACACAGAAATAACATTCAGTTCTAGCCAGTGCTCAGTGGATGCTGATGGTCGCTAGTGGGAAACCTCAAGAAAGCTCATGTGTGTGTCTGTAGGAAAGGTAACAGAATAGTGAGGCTGTGAAATGTGTCTCCTCATGGACAGAGGACTCCACCTGCGTCTCCTGCTACACTCACGCCTGCCTTCCAAACACATCGTAATACCTACAGAGCAGGCGAGGCGGTCCATCTGTTGTAAGAGTTTATAAAAATAAAAATCTCCTTCACATCACATATAAAGATGTAATTATCACAAGTCAAGGGCTGATGGCAGGCCAGAAGGACATCTGTAACAAATACCATAGTTGTTTCCCTAGAAATGTCTGAGCACGTCCGAGGCACAGACGGGGCTAGGAAAGTCCTCTTGCTTTCACTGAAAGCCATGTGAGCTGCTTGGGTCTTCCCAGCTCGACACAAGCCAGGGTCATCTGAGAAGAGGAAACTTCAATGGAGGAAAATGCCTCCATCAGATTGGCTTGTGGACAGTTTCTTGATTAATGACTGATTTTGAATATTAATGGTTATGGGATGTGCCATCCCTATGTAGGTTGGTTCTGGGGTATATGAAGAAGCAAACTGAGCAAGCTAGGAGGAGCGAGCCAGGAGGAGCGAGCCAGGAAGTAGCATCCCTCCACTGTCTCTGATTTCCATTATTTTTCTCTATTTTGGGGCAAGCCCTTTATTTTTTTCATATGATAAGTTCTTACTACATAGCTTAAGCTAACCTTGGATTCACTATGTAGCTCAGGCTGGCTTCAAATTCTGAATCTTTCTGCTGCAGCCTTCCAAATGCTGGAGTTATAGGCATGCACCAACACACCTGGCTTCAGGGAAACCATTTTTAAAGCATCTTCATACCTTGAAAACATGGCTTGCTTGGCGAACTCCACCTCCCCTGGTGGCACCGTGACCATCCGGCCAGTGAGTGTTAACCGGGCGCATCGGGGATCTTCTGGGTCGATGATGTTTTTTCTGCATGGGAAGAACATTGTTCATACATGAAGGCAAAAGCAACACAAGAGCCTGGAATACCGAGGATTTCATCAAACATTTAAAGTAGTCACATTGTTGATTATACCACCTCAGGTTTCTATATTGTTTATAACCACTGAAAAATATTTTATCATAGATGGGTGTGTGCATATGCTGGATGCCAGTAGGATAGTTAGAAGACAGCTGATACACTCTAGGCTAGGGTTCACATGCTGTGGGAATTGCAATTTACTATTGTTCCTGTGGTAGTTTGGCCTATGTGCTAAAACTTGGTAGGGAAAGGATCATCTTGAAGGCTGGACAGTGGGCAACTTTAATCCTAGCACTCAAGAGGCAGAGGCAGGCAGATCTCTGAGTTCAAGGCCAGCTTGATCTACAGAACAAGTCTCAGAACAACCAAGGCTACACAGAGAAATCCTGTCTTACAAATAGATCCACAAACAAAGAAAGCAAGGCTCAGCGATACTGAGAGTTCTAAAAGAGAAGCCGCTTGGGCTGCTCCCAGCTCAGTCCTTGGGAGCAGATTCTATCAGGGTGGTGCTGAATTTTGTCAGTTCATTGGAATGTTCAGGTTAGGGGGAAAAACTGGTCACTCTGGTATTTCTCTAGCCTTGAAAGGCTGTGGTAGGTTCCTGAAAAAAGTGTTCCTCCAGTCAGATTCAGTTCCAGACAGTGTGTCTGTGTGGCTGTCCAGTCAGCAAATCTCTAAGGTTCAGGAGAGATTCATTCATCCCTTCCCCCATCATGTGTGTCTGTCTGTCCTTCTCTTCACTTCTCTCCCTTGGTCTGTGGTCATTTTGACTCATTTTAATAATGCCCATCATGCAACCTTGTCAGATCTTAAAGTTTCATCATCTTTGCCCTTTTCCTTCCTTCCTTCCTTCCTTCCTTCCTTCCTTCCTTCCTTCCTTCGTTCCTTCCTTCCTCCTTTTCTTTTCCTTCTCCTCCTCCTCTTCCTCTTCTTTCTCCTCTTTTCTCCTCTTCCTCCTCATCTCCTTCTCTTCTCCCTTCTCTTCCTCCTCTTCTTCTCATGCTCCTCTTCATCCTCTTCTCCTCCCCTCTTCTCCCTTTTCTTCTCCCCCACTCCTCTATTTTTTTTTTTAAAGGAAGCAAGAGCAATGGCGCCCTTCACATTTTTCCTCATTACCACTTTCTTCCTGGAGTCACCTTTAGTTTAGTGTTTCACATCTAGACATGGTTTTGTATTTTCTTATTTATAGACACCAGCAAGTAACATCTTGCTTCCTGAGGACTTAACATGCTCTGTATATATCAAACTATAACCCTGAGACTTGATGTTTTCTACCCAGTTTATGTTGAAGATTTGTTCATGCTGACAGTGGGTGGTTCTACTCTAATTATTTGTGTGTTGCCTACGGTAAAAACATTTATGAAATTTATCTATTTGTTCTACTTTGGTTTCCCGTTTTCATTCTAACTTGGCTGTAAATGGTTTTGTGGTAATCATTTCTGTGTATGACTTCCCAGGCATAGATCCGAGAAGGCCACTGGTTGGCACGGTCTCTTTGGTTTTGCGAAGTGCTTTTGCAATTCATATTCTGAGCAAGAAAGAATTTGTGGTTATTTAAGCTTTCTGATGTCTGATATTAACAGAACGAAGTTTTCACAATTGAACATTTCAGTGGTGTTTTAGTTATAGCTCCTTGGTTGTATGTGAACTTAAACATGTAACATGTTTCTCTGTTCATTGACCATTCGATTTTCTTTTCCAGTATATTTTTCTGTTGGGCTAAGTGGTTTACCTTTTACTTACTCATGACCATACTCTTACATTCTCATTTCAGCCCTGTCTCCATATATCTGTCTATAGCTATATATTTATAGCCAACTTACAATGTACGTGTAATGACCCAGTTAGGGTCATCAGTTAAAAGAATTGCCTGGGTCATACTCACAGGAAGAAAAGCATTTGTTGTTTATTAGAAGTTCAAATAGATTCAGTCAGTTTTTCAGCACTGAACAAAGTAAGTTTATAGAGGAGGGTTCACTTTGGTCCATGGCTTTGGAGGTGTTAATTTGGCATCAGCAGACCCATTGCTGTGGGTCCAAAGGCAGCTGACCAGTATGGTTGGGGAGCAGGGGCAAGGAGGATGCTGCTCACTCCACGGTGGACGGGAAGCGGAGAGGGACAGGAAAAAGAGATGATAAGGTACAGTCTTTCTAGGGCTTGTAATTTACTTCCTTTGTGGCTATTCTTGGTTGTCAACCTGACTACATCTGGAATTAACTAGAATCCAAGTGGCTGGGCACACGTGTGAGGGATTTTTTTTTTTTCTTAAGTCATTTGAAATGGGAAGACCCAAGTTTAATTCTGATATTTTTGAGGTGGAAGACCCACCTTAAATCTGGATCATACCTTCTGTTGGTGGCCTAGATAAAGGACAGGGAAGAAAGAAGCTTGCTATCTTTGCCTGCTTGCTCTTGCTGGCAGGTCCAGTTCCTCTCTGGCATTACAGCCTACTTCTTCTAAATTCCAGTGTATCCTGAAGACCAGCTGAGACATCTAGCCTCATGGACTGAACTACTGGATTCTTGGACTTTCCGTTGGTAGAGCGAGCTATTGCTGGACTAGCAGGACCATGACTTTTAAGTCACTCTAATAAATTCATTCTCTCTCTCTCTCTCTCTCTCTCTCTCTCTCTCTCTCTCTCTCCATATATGTATTCATTTTATCAGTTCTGCAGTTCTGCTCCTCTAGAGAACCCTGGATAATACATACTCTAACTATGCTTTGTAGGAAGCGGGTGCGGGTATGGCGGCCATTCCAAAATGGCGCCTGGGGCTAACACCTGACTTCCTCATACGCCCCTGAAGAAGCCACGCCCACAGGCAATATTGCGCAGGCTCACTGCTATGCACAATCAGGCCATCTGCTACGTAGGGCAACGTCAGATCTCAAGATACCGGCTATCCTATAGCATGCACTGACGTGGCAGGCTCTGATTGGAGAAGGCAGAGGGATTTAAGGGTGGTGGAGGAGAGGCTCGGGGGCTTTTTGCTGAATGTAAAGGTTCCTGAATAAACTGTGTTGAGAAGAAGAACTCCGTGTTCGTTGTCTTCTGTCTGCTGGTCGGATCGGGAAGCAACAATGCTTCACCTTCCGCAGTTTTCATCAGTCACCAAAATTATGCTATCAACTGCAGACCGAGTTTTCACACATGAGTCCATGAGGGAATATTTTATATCCAAACCATGCATTCTGCCTGGTCCCCAAAGGCTCATGGTCAACTCTTTTTTAAAAAAGAATTTATTTACTTTATTTATATGAGTATACTATAGCTGTCTTCAGACACACTAGAACAGGGTATTGGGTTCCTGTTACAGGTAGTTGTGAGCCACCATGTGGTTGATGGGAATTGAACTCAGGACCTCTGGAAGAGCAGTCAGTGCTCTGAGCCCCTGAGCCATCTCTCCAGCCCTCATGGTCAACTCTTAATATCAATATTCATTTAGTCTATCTCCAATATTCCCCCCAAAGTCTGAACAGTTCTAGAATGGCTTAAAAGTTCAAGTCCAAAGTTTCTTCTGAGACTCAAAGCAAACTTAGCTGCAAAGACTCTAAATTCAAAAGACAAGTTGGACATTTATAACATACAGTGGCACAACCTAAACATTTCCAGTTCAAAAAGGAAGAGTAGAGGCACAGAGAGTAAGGATGAGAGGGAACACAAGACCCAGACCTAGCAGGGGAGACGTTAAACCCTACAGCTCCGTGTTCAGCTCCTGCATACGTGGTGGTGTGTGGTGAGCGCCATTCCACAGCTTTGATGTTTGCAGCCCTCAAGGCTTCTCTCTTGTGTTGGCTCTTTGTGCTACCTGTAGCTTCCCTTAGCAGAAGTGCTTTCTGGGCTCCGACATCCAGGGTGTCTATTGCATAGGGCTTAGGGTTCACCCTCAAAGCTTTATTCATTGTCTTCTCTAGGACTGCTGGAAGTGACTCCAGCCCCATTACACATTTTGGGGCCTTTTAAACTTTCCTTGAAAATCTGGGTGTGTACGTCATCTACATCATCTATGCATTCTGCATACATGCACAATTAGGATGCACACAGACAACACCAAGGTCTGCTATCAGATCTAACAGTCGCCAGTCCTCCTTGAACCATGTCTTGGTGGTCTCTAAGGGCCTATATAACTGAGCAGAGTGAAATGAATTCTGGGAAGGCAGTTTCCTTGGAGGCCTTTTGTGAACAGAAAGTTTCAGAACCCTCTTCTCCAAGCCAAATCTTTCAAACAAGTTTATTCCTTTACATCTTTAGGCCAGAAATGGACAAAATCTGGACAGTTCTCCTGATACCCTCAGGACATCTTTGCCAGTATTCTGGTGCAAAGTATGAGATTCCTTTTTTTTTTTAAAGATTTATTTATTATATATATATATGAGTACACTGTAGCTATATTCAGACACACCAGAAGAGGGCATCAGATCCCATTACAGATGGTTGTGAGCCACCATGTGGTTGCTGGGAATTGAACTCAGGTCCTCTGGAAGAGCAGCCAGTGCTCTAACTGCTAAACTATGTTTCCAGCCCCGAGATTCCTTTTTTTTACTGGCGTTAATCTGTTCTTTGATGCTGCCTTCCTTATCCCAAACTTGAAAACCACTTCTCTCCTGTTTAAACAAATTTCTCAAATCTTCCTGATCGCTCTCTTTTTGCTCTCAAATCTTATTACAAACCACCCAGAATTATAAAAAAAAAACACCAAGTGTCTGTCTTAGGGACTCTATCACTAAGGCAAAAAAGCCATGACCAAAAAGCAAGAAAGGCTTAATTCAGCTTATACTTCCAGATCATAGTCCATCACTGGAGGAAGTCAGGACAGGAACTCAAACAGGGTAGGAACCTGGAAGCAGGAGCTGATGCAGAAGCCATGGAGGGATACTGCTTTCTGGCTTGCTTCCCATGGTCTGCTCAGCCTGCTTTCTTATAGAAACCAGAACCACCAGCCTAGGGATG